GGGTAGAGCGTTCCACAGATTAATCGTATCCGGAAGAAATGATTTAGCATAGGTCTGGGTTCTACATTTGATTGTTTGTATGTTAGATCTATTTCTAAGGTTATAATTGCTATTATCAGAGACTGGACTTGGAATGAGATTGTTGAGATATATACAGGTGAAATACCGTTTTTCATTTTGTAAAATGTAATCAATTTGAAGCGGTGTCGTCGTTCTTTTAAGGACTGAAAGTTTGTTTCGTTATAAATTTTAACATGACTGGTACCCCGAACCGCCCCACAAATAGTTCTCAATGCGTCCAAATGTAAATTCTCGAGTAACAATGATTGTTCGTTTGTACAGTTGTCCCAAATATGACAGCAGTAGTCAAAGTTTGGTAGGATAAAAGATGTGTACATAGTTTCAAGCGTGTTTCTTGTTGGTCTGTATCTAAAGCTCCTTTGGCAGTTGATCATTGGACTGATTTTTCTAATAATTTCGTTAATGTGTATTTTCCACGAACAATCAGATTGAATTCCTAAATGTTTATGACTTTGTACTTCTTCAATAACAGTACTCTCCATGTATAAGTTTGGTCTAAAACCAGAATTGACTTTGCGACTGAATGTTATAGTTTTGGTCTTACCGGGATTGAAACCTACTTGCCATTTTTGGGCCCAGTTTGAGATTTTTGTCAAATCATTGTTGATACAATTTGCTGCAGAGATTTGATCATCAATGATGACATATATAGATGTATAGTCTGCGAACAGGCGTATATTACTCTCGATACCTTCGACAATGTCATTTATATAAACAATAAAAAGCAGGACTTTGTCCAAGGACTGACCCTTGGGGGACCCCAGCTTGTACAAATTTTGATTCTGAGGTATAACCATTAATGACTACCTGTTGGACTCTATGTTCTAAGTGGCTTTCAAACCATTTCAAAAGATCACCTTGGATACCGTAAGCATTGAGTTTATGAATAATTCCTTTGTGCCATACTCTATCAAAGGCTTTGCTGACATCAGAAAAAACAGCCCTGATTTCTTTACCTTCATCTAATGCCCTAGCAATAAAATTATATAGGTAAGTGAGTTGATAAGATGTGGAATTGCCAGGCACGAATCCCGACTGTAAATTTGTCAACAAATCATTTTCTCTGAAAAAGTTAAACACATATTTGAGTATACACTTTTCAAAAATTTTGGCTAAGCAACATGTGAGGGCTACAGGTCTATAGTTTGAGCATTCATGTACATTGCCTTTTTTGTGAATTGGTGTTACTGATGCTTGTTTCCAAACTAACGGGAAGGTTTTGTTTTTGAGCAACAAGTTAAATAATTTTGTCAGGATCGGAGCTAGACGAGTCGCTGTTTATTTAAGTAACTTGTTACCTATACCATCTGGCCCTGTTGCCTTAGTTGTATCTACAGAAAGAAGAATATCTTGAACTTCTTCTTGATTTAAATTCACAGATAGTAATGGATCGTCGATTGTATATGGTCCAATAGATGGAAGGTCAGAATCGGGGTTTCTTACTCTTGCTTGATCAGTGAAAAATTCATTTAGGACATTTGTAATATCTTCAATATCATCATATGAAACATTATTTGATACTATTGACGGAAACGACGAATTTTCGGTGTGCGTTTTGACATATTTTTTAACTAGTCGCCACCAGATCTTAGTACCATATGAAGTTTTTATGATGTTATCTATTTTTAGTTCATGAGCTCTTTTTGCTATTCTGACTGATGATATTACTTTATTCCTACAAAGCCTAAATTTTACCCAATCTGACGGTCAATTTCTGTTTTTAGCAATTTTGTGAATACGATTACGTTTCCTAATAAGAGAGCGTATCTCGTTATTTATCCATAGAGGATCCGTTGTTCGTATTGTGACTGTTTTAGTTGGAATGTATTTATCAAATATGTCTTTAAGTCTACAAGTCAGATCTTCAGTGATAATGTTAATATTATCAGATGAGAATAGGCTATCCAGGTCAATCTCATTAATACCTTGATTTATACCATCTGTATCTGCCAAGGGATAGTTATATATTTTTCTCTTAAACGCATAGTTTCTGGGTATAGTTTCTTTCATATGAACAAAGATAGGGCTGTGATCCCTACAGATTGGATCAAGTACACCAGAAGACCTTCGTTGTTTACACAGGATACAAATATTAAATTGATCAAAGTTTTAGAATTAGAGGTTATTCTTGTAGGATCTGTAATTATTTGTTTTAAACCGTACATAGATTGTAAATGTTCAATCTTTTTAGTGGTTTCGCATAGAATATCTAGATTGTAGTCGCCAGTAACAATAGTAAACATATCAAGATCAACAGCATTGCCTATTGATTCATCAATTAAATTCCAATAATGAACACATTTATCGGCACGATAAAATGTACCAATTAAGTAATTTTGAGTTTTACATTTAACCTGTATCCATATCGCTTCAAGCTCGGCAAGTTCTAAATTTCTCATTATTTTAGCGTTTAGATTATTTTTAACATAAGCCGCAACCCCACCACCGCGTTTTGTTCTGTCTTTTTTAAATGGAGATTGAAAACCGGGAATTTGTATGTCATTGTTTCGAATATCTTCACTTAACCATGTTTCAGTCAAACATATTACATTGTATGACCCAATTTCTGCGCTTAAAATATTCAATTTATATCTGAGACTACGAACATTTAGGTGTATAATATTTAAGTCTTTTAAGTATTTAGTTCCAGGATGTGTGTGAACATCTCCAAGGCAGAGGAGTGGAAAAATGAAGAAAATTGATAGCCGCAGATTATACAAACATCGCAATTTAGAAATGTGTACAAAAATCATAAACTTAAATGAGTATTTAACATGAAGTGTAACTGCAAATGTACCCACTGCTTGTCTATATTGTGATATGTCAACCGACATCGAATGTTAGTATGATAAATAAATGCACAGTGGGTCGCAAAAGAAATGGACAAGCGCACAGACACACACAAGCTACAGATATGGCTCGGTACAAGTACATAAGGACTTAAAGGTGGAGAATGTATTGATGTCAACTTCTTTATTATGATGATCACAACATTTCGGAGTATATACTTACTCCTTCATTAGGTGAATATTCACAATTCTGCTCCAATTGCTTAGATCAATGCTCATACTGTCAACCATATTTGCCATTTTTATGTCATATTCACAGCATTAGAAACTAACAGTTTTCACCCACTAGTCCTTATAATGATAACATATAGCAAAACTCTTAAAAATGGAAATTTTCTACTAGACCTTATGATACCTTTACCATTGGGCAGTTTGGCAAGGACTATAGGACTAGTGCCAATTTCTAACCCTGATTCATTTGTATAATAATACATATTATTTCTAATAATGGCGTCATTTGGACACACAAATATAAAGTAACCCAATACTTGCCGTAACAGGCAACAATGCTTGTCTAAAGAGTTGACTTACGGGATCGGGTGGCGGTCAGGCTCGGTGACTTGGTTGATGCATGTCATTGATCCCAATTGTGTGGGTCGATGCTCATGATGTCAATCACTGGACTGTCTGGTCCAGACTCGATTATTTACATATAGCCTGAATATTGCTTGAGTGTGGGATAAAACAACCAACAAACAACCAAACCAAATCATAAGTGCGAGATGGGTCATTTGAAATTAGCAAGTTATATGTGTGAACTTAAATCACTACAACCTGATCAGAGTCTTGAAAAGATATGACTTTGATTCAGCGAAAATTTGCATCATGATAGTTTCAACTGTAGATACAGTTAATCTGTTTTTTTTGTACAGTTCCTGTTCATTAATTGTATATGTTGTTCAAATAAGCTTTACCTCTTCACCAACCCTATTCCTCTTTTGGAATAAATAGTGTCTAATAATTCAAATACCATCACTACTAATCATCCTAATGAACACAACAAAGAAATGCACATCAAAAACATCATTATTATTATTTCTGATCCCTGATAAAGTAGAAAAAAACTGTCATCCAGCAAGATACATTTTCTTAGTCTCCAGAAGCATGTTACATAGTAAACTGACTTGATAAGTTGAATAGCAGTCAACGTGGTTGTAAATGCACAACTGACTATGCTTACTTACTTACTTAGAGATTTAACGTGCGCTTTCCGACTGATGCGTATTTCGCACAAGGGCCCGGTCAGGCCATTTAATGTGTTTCCGAAAGGGGCGAAAGTGGTCTGTGCAACCCAAGAGGGGGATTTAGGGGTTGCTTATATAGATTTTGGGAATTTTTAGATTTGGAATAGATGCCTATGGGGTTGGGGAGTAGAACTAAGGGAGCTGGGTATGGTGGATGTTTGATTGTTTATGTGATTTTGATTTGGTAGATTATAGTGTTTTTAGATGCGTTTTATTAGTTCCGTTTTTATTAAGAATACGCCTATAAGGCTTTGAAGTTTTCTAGTTTATTTTGTGGGTTTAGTATTGCTTCTAGAGTGAGAGCCTTATTTAGATTTAGGGTGGTTTGTAGTGTAGTTCGGTGTGTGAGGTAGTGTGTGCAGTGGATGAGTGCGTGTTCTGGGGTTTCTAGTTGTTTGCAGTGTGGGCAGTTACCTGTAGTGTGTTTTTTTTTTTAAAATTAGGTGTTTTGTTAGGTTGGTGTGTCCTGTTTGGAGTTTAGTGATTACTCTGTCGATTTTTTTGATGGATGGAGAATTTTTGATTTGGTTAGTGGTTTGCTGAGTACTTTTTTGATTTGGCTATTTGAGTTTAGATATAGGTTATGCCATTTCTTGGTGATTTTTTGCTTGTTTACGCTTTTAATTTCTGATTTTGAGATGGGTAAGTTTAAGCTTATTTCTGTGATTTTGAGGGATAGTTTGGCTGCCATATCGGCGTTTTCATTACCGTATATTCCTACGTGGGCGGGTATCCACAAGATGGTTATTTGTTTGCCTGCCTTAGTTAGGTCATTGGAGCTTTTAAGTATTTGATTTATTAATTTAGGTCGGTTTTGGGTATTTTTGTTTTGAAGGGCTTGCAGTCCACTTACGGAGACGGTAAGTATTAGGATTTTTTTGTGTTATTTTGATTCTTGATTATGGAGGGCTGAGGCCATGCCCATTAGTTCTGCTTGGTTGTTTGGGAGTCGGAAGGATTGTGTGGTTTTAGTTGGTTGCGTGGTATGGACTCCGAAACCTGTGTGTTTGGAGGTCGGATCTGAAGATCCGTCCGTGTAAATGTGACACCAATTTGGCCAATTTTAGTGTATGTATGCTAGTGTGGTGGTTTTAGCTATGTTTGGGTCGGTTTGTTTATTTATTTGGCTAGCTAGTGTTGTGTCTATTTTGGGTATTTTAAGTTAAGGGGTGAAGATATTTGATTGTTTGCAGTTTTGTTTAAGATTTTTAATTTGGTGTTCATTTAGGTAGTTTGTTATTCTTTGGGATATTGGGGTAAGTAAGGGGTGTTTACGAGCTAGAGCTTGGTTTTTGGGGCTGATATTTTGGTTTATTAAGTTTTGGATGAGAGGGTTTGATTGGGACGCGGCCCAGAAATTTAAGCTTAGCTGTTCCCTGCGTAGACTTAGTGGCATTTCTCCTGTTAAGGCCTGAAGTGAAGTGTAGGAGGTGCCATGTTGGGTGCGTGTAATTAGCTTGGGAGCCTGATATTGTATTGAGTCAAGTTTTTTAGATAGAGAGTCGTTTAGGGTGTTGTATATGGCGCAGCCGTAGTCTAGTTTTGATCTAATTAGTGATATGTAGAGAGAGAGGAGGGTATCTTTGGAGGCTCCCAAGTTAGAGCCAGTTAGGCATCTTAGGGTGTTTAGGTCTTTACTGCATTTAGTTGTTAGGTTTTGGATGTGAGCATCCCAGGTGAGATGTTCATCGAAAATAAGTCCTAAGAATTTGGTTTGTTTTTGAAATTTGATTGTTTGGTTGTTTAGCTGGAAGATTGGGGAGGCGGGTTTCATGTTTTTATGTTTGAATACTATTCCTGTTGTTTTTTCTGAGTTAAGGGAGAAGCCCCATTTGTCAGCCCATTGTTGTATTTTATTAAGAGATTTTTAGAGTAAATTTTGGGCCATTTTAATGCTTTCAGTGCGGATCCAGAGGGCTCCATCATCCGCGAATTTTGATGTGTTTACTTTAGGGGATAGGCCCTCGAATAGATCGTTTATCATTATATTGAAGAGGGTGGGGCTGAGGATACTGCCCTGGGGGACATTGGTCCGATAGTGTTTGGTCTATACCCACGGTTATTTTACGATTGTTTAGGAAGTCCTGGATGTAGTTTATTATCTGACTTTTGAGTCCTATTTTTTAAAGTTTTTGTATTAGCCCGTCGTGCCATACCATGTCGAAAGCTTTAGAGAAGTCTAAGAAGATTCCTGTGATATATTGTTTATTTAGTTGTCCTGTCTTAATATCTTGCTCTAGTCGGGCGAGGTTATCTAGGGTTGAGCGGCCAGGAGTGAAACCGCTTTGATCTGGGTTTATGATGTTATTTTGGGTTAGGTAGTGTTGTAATCTATTTTTAGCCTGTTTGATAGGCATTACTTAGAAGTTGACGGATGACAAGATAGACACAATTTTGTATGGATAACAACTTCTTTAATACTGTGAAAAGCGACGTTTCGGTATAGAATCAACCCCAGAATCAAAGAGCATAAAACCTCCACCATCAAATCCGACAGCAAATCAGCCATCTCGGACCATATCAGCAACTGTCCCAATCACATCATCAACTGGGACAAAGTCCAAATCCTCGCCAACAACCTCCATGATTTCACCAAAAGAAAACTAACAGAAGCAGTCCACATTCGCCGCCACAACCCATCAATCAACAGGAGATCAAGGCTATTTCATCCCACCCGCCTACTATGAACTCATCAAACAATAATCACCTGTTTATTGGCTTCATGCCTCTATTGGCTTCTAGCTATGTGTTTTCTGTCCATCGTGTTGTGACAGCATCATCCCTTTGTTGTCAACACCTACCAACAGACCAATGTTATCCCACTCATGTATGCTTTTGTTGTTACTGTTAATCTTCTACTGTTAATCCTCCACCTACTACGGACGCCATTTTGCTGTATTCTAACCTTCAACGTTTACCAAAACCATATTGGGATTACGAACATATCCACGCAAAAGGGATTTCGAACTCTAAAACAACCAAGGCCCACTAGCGAACGCCACGCTCGCCCCACGGCCAAGCCAGCCTCGGGCTAGGAGACTCACTCGCCTCTCCGCCTAGAAAACCACCGGCTAAGCAGAAAAACGCCATCTTTTTTATCACTGTTAAGTATTCCTACCTCTATCCCCTCCTACCTTACTGGATGCTTATTTTCTCCCCTTTTTTGTACTCTTGTGCCATTACTGTATTATCCTACCACTGACCACACATTGTCATCACCCCCCCCCCCCCCCCCCCCCCCCCCACACTCCCCATGCCAAATCAACTCCAACATGGACTCCCCTCCTCGCTCATCCCCTCAATCCACCTCACTTTTCACAACACCCATAAACAGCAAAAAACACTTTCCAGGTCTTACCCCAACACACAGCACAAACCCAGTCCCCTTTGACTTTGGCCTAGACCTGGAAGAACTAAATCTCATCCTCCCCCCACCCCCGTCAGGAACATCCCCCCTCCCCCCACTCCCAACCCAAACACCACACACCACCATCCCCCTACCCACCAACACATAGAAACCCCAAATCATAATCCAACAACCCCAAACCCCAAACCAGGCTAGACAACCCCCACCTGCAAACAAACACCCATCACCCAAACAAACAAAACAGATCTCTCTACACACATCGTTTTCGGCACTCTCACCTACAAAGTCAACCCAGTAACGAAAAACCCCCCTCAATGCTCCATATGCCACTCATTCACACACCCAACATCTACATGCAGACAACCACCCATGTGTCAAAAATGCGGCTCGTACAGACAATGAGAGCCATCAGCGGCTCTGATTGGGGCGCTGACAAACTAACACTATTAAACATATACAAATCACTAATTCAATCTAAAATTGACTATGCTGCTCCAGTCCTCAACTCCATATCAGAAAGACTTAACAATAAACTAAACTCCATTCAATATAAAGCCCTTAAAACAGCCCTGGGCACTAGAACCGGTACCGCACTAAATTCTCTCCAGTTAATATCAGGAACCACATCCATCCAACTTAGGCGCCATCAAACCAACCTCAACTACTGGGCTGGGGCCCAACAAAACCCCATCCTGAAACAAATCATCACCAAATACAACAATCTCAGACCTGCAACCCTAAAGAAATTCAAAAACAATCACACCCTAGCCCCATATCTCACACATCTATATAAACTCATTAAAACTTATAAACTAGAAAATATTAAACACACAGACCCATCAAACATATACGTAAATGACAACCCCCCCCCCCCCCCCGAAACAGACCTCTCACTCCATAAAACATTCATATCACACCCTGACACTAAAAACCTAGACAAAAAAGAAATATCAAACAACTACATATACCAAAACTGGCCCAACCACCCCCATATCTATACCGATGCATCACAGACAAATAACGACATAACAGGACTAGGCATACAGATCACACAACCCACACCAATCACCACAAACTTACACTATACAAACACACATATCATCATAGCTGAATAACTCGCTATACAATGTGCATATCATTACATAAAACTATCTAAAGACACAAACTTCCTTATAATCTGAGACTCCTTAGGTGCATTAACCCAAATTCATAGTAAAAAATCTAAATCAAGGCAAGACATAATAAATAACATTATAGACATACATACAAAAATCATAGAAACCAACAAAACAATAACTCTCCAATGGGCACCTGCACACACTGGCATAACAGGCAACCAACTAGCAGACACAGCTGCAAAATTAGCCACTACACAACCATCACCAAGCATAAATTTCACCACTAGTAAAGCCGAGATCAAATCACTAATTAGAAAAAATACATTACCTCAAAATTTCAAAACTAATATTCAAAATTGTAAGTCAACTTTGACAAAATCCTTCTTCAATAAACTAATCACAAAGTGCCGCAACTTTACAAAGTCTATTTTAACAGAAAAAATCATAAACAGAATGTTAAGCGGCCAAATTAATCTAAACGAAACTCTCTATAAACAAAACAGACACCCACACCCAAACTGCATCCGCTGCAATACACCTGAAAACCTAGACCACATATTCAACCATTGCTCACAATATAAACAAAAACAAACACAATTATACAACTCTCTTCCCCCCCCAGTTCAAAAATAACATGACACTGCTTCTAAACCCCTTCAATCATCCTGCTAAATTCTCCCATATAGCCACATTCCTTAAATCAACAAATCTCATAAGCAAACTTTAGAAAAATCCCAACAAATTACAGCCTAGTTACTATATACAAAATCCACACTTTTACAATTTAGGATCGGGATCCAAATGCTCAGCGGAAAATTCGCCCATATCCATACACTAATAACCATGACCGTTTTACCCAGCCACCAACCCAAGCCCAGCTCCCACGCTCATGGCCAAGACTCACCCCCCCCCCCCCCCCCCCCCCTCCTGACTCCCCTACCCCAGCCAGTAAGCCCAAACTTTTTATAATAGGTTTTCCCATCCATCCCACCATTATTTTACAGTTTATAGTACATATTACTAACTAGCATATCAGCTTAACTGATTTTATACCATTTTAAGTCTATATACGAGTTACTTCCCTTAGATTAGGTTTCTTACAGCTCCACAACACTACTGCTAAACTTCTCTCTCCCCTTCATCCTCCTTTCCTGTATTTCTTTCTTCTTTATCCCCCCTAATTTATATTTTTTTGGGCCAGCCGATTACTTACTTATTTCCCACTGTTGTTTGTTATTGTTTAACCCGTCTGGCCCCGACTGCGAAATAGCCGATGGCTGAAGCGGTCGTAAAATCTACTACTACTACTACTACCTCATTCAGTCTTGCTTGACAACGGTATAAGGATCTATACCGAAACGTCGCTTTTCACAGT